CCAAGACTGGCCTTAAACTCATCTTATAGCAGAGGATGACCTTGAACTTCTACTCTGTGTGCTTCTACATCTCAACTGCTGGACTTAACAGGCATGTGCTATCACACTCGGCGTCTGTAGTGCAGGATACAGGTCTAAGGCAGACGGAATTCCAGCCCTGAAAGGGGAAGTTGATGTAAAGTCCCACTCCTAACAAGGAAGCTATTTGCAACTGATGCTGGTGGGAAAGGAGAGGTCAGCTGTCTCCAGTGGAGTGTCACTGGATACACCAACCACATTCCCATGGACGGTCTTACACCCAGGAGCAGGTGGGCAGCTCCCATATTTCATGGAGACAGTTTTTCACTGGAAAAATAGAAAAAATAAAACAAATCCTAATTGTGTAAAATTTTGTGTCTACAAAATAAGTTGCCAAACTTTCTACCTAATGATGTAACATTTAAGAAAGGATGTAGGTTGTATGTAATCTGTATGAACCAGGCTTTTAATCCCAGCACTTGGGAAACAGAGACAGGTGGATCTCTGTGAGTTCCAAGGCAGCCTGCTGCTCTACATAGTGAGTTCCAGGACAGCCAGGACTATGTAGAGAGACAAAGAAATTACTTTTTAATATAAATCCCCCTTCTTACAGAATGTTTCTACAATTAAATATGACTATTTTCCAAGACTAGTTGATTCCGTGATTTTTAATAAAGCAATTTTAAAATTCTTTTCACATTTGTTTAATATGTGTGAACACATGCATGCCACAGCATGTGTGTGTGGGTCGGAGGACAACTTGCCGGAGTTGGTTCTCTCCTTCTTCAGGTGAGTCCTGAGAAAAATCAAACTCAGCTTATCAGGTCTGGCCCCGAGAACCTTTAATGGCTCATCTTCTTGATGGTTCACTTTCTAATCTTCTTCTTCTTCTTCTTCTTCTTCTTCTTCTTCTTCTTCTTCTTCTTCTTCTTCTTCTTCTTCTTCTTCTTCTCCTCCTCCTCCTCCTCCTCCTCCTCCTCCTCCTCCTCCTCCTCCTCCTCCTCCTCCTCCTCCTCCTCCTCCTCCTCCTCCTCAGTTTTCCTTTTTGGAAGTGCTGGCTCTTTAAAACATCACCACTTCCCAACTTGGAGGCCTTCCCCAACTGCTTTCTGGAGATCTCCTTGTGCTTCTGTCTGTGAGATGAAGGCAGCCTTCTTCTCCACACACCGGCCCCTTCTCCTAGTGGCTTTTGCTCAGTACACCTCTTTGTTCCCACTTTCCCCTCTGGCCTTGAACTAGCAGTGCTCTTTGAGGTAACTGGTCTTTACGGCTTCACGTTTTCAAGGCCTCTCTCGCTCCCATCCTTAACTCTTGATGGCAGTGTTCTCCACACGGACCCTTCTTGATGTATTTGCTGCAAATGTTTTCTAAGATCGGGAACGATGAGGGACTCCACTTCCATTCTTCCTCTTTCAGAGTTTTTAGCTTCCTCCAGCCAATCCCTGACCTTTATGTCACCAGAATTGGTAGTGCAACATGGGAACCTGTAATAATTTGGTGCTCTGCTGCAATTGCACATCCGTAATACTTGTCTGTGGATGTCCACTCAGTCATATTTTCTACTCTGACAATTTCTGCTGTTTACCTTCTGCCCGGCGTCTTGCTCTGATTGCTCACGGTCATATGGGGACCAGTCTTTCTGTCTGCAGGAGAGGGCTTTACTGAGGAGAGGAGTAAATGTTAGCATTTTATCCCAGGTTGTCTCATCCCTTTAGAGAACAATATTTTTATTTTAACCTTGAAAGGTGGGGTGGGAATCCATTTTGACCCCTGGATGGTTTGGCTTGCTGAGTTAGACAGAGTCATTGTCTCCACATATAGACTTTCTAGGAAGACACCAGCCACACTTGTCCTCATCATTTTTCACTTGGATTCTGTATCCAGAATCCCTGAGGTGCTGTGTCCGGGCTTGAAGTCCTACAGGGATCTCTGACCAATGGCCTTATGCCTCAGACTATAGTCTACGAACTGTCCTGAATGAAATTGCCTAGGACTTCTTAAAAAATAGATCAGAGGAAAAATAATGTCAGGATATCTTTCACAGTGATGGTAGCTGTTGTTTTGTGAAATTTATTTTGCCTGTGTACAGACGCAGGCATAGGTGGAGACACAAACTAAACCTCCAGGCAAAACAGGCCGCTTACTGTGGGTGGAAGAAAAGAAGTAATCACCCTACCCCATGTCAGGCGTAACTTCTCCCACCTAGCTGTGGCAGTGTTTTTCACTATACCTTGAATATCCTACAAATCTGGTTTAATGCATCTTAGTGCTTATCGGTGGGTAATCCAACGTATGCCAGCTGGATGGAACAGGTACTAAGGACTGGAATGGAGGGCGGACCTGAGGCCCATGAGGGCTCCAGCAACGGCAAATGCTAGTTTTTATGTACAGGATTAAGGAATTATCTTGTGGCGTGGGTAAAACAGGGAGATATGCAAGTGGATGGACAATGGGCGGGGCTTCAGGCTTTCAAATATTTGGAGCTGCCAGTGTGATTGTATTTAGAATTTATAATTTTCCCCTTACCTGTGGTTTTGAGGAAGGACGGAGGGAAGGAGATCAGTGAGTGTGCCCCCTTTTATTCTGAACCAGAATCCCCATGGTTTGGATTTTTAAATTTTCTTTTCAAAAATTTGCACCTCCCCACTTTGAAAGGTACCAATACAGTGATGTGACTAGCCTGGTGTCTCCTCTCACAGCCAAGCCTCCCCGCATCCTGGGAATGGGGGGGAGAAGAAATTACATAATTAAAAACGAATTGCAGTTTGTTTCTGAAGTAGTAGGATGAAAGACAGATGAAGGCTGTCACCACACTCCAGACTTGGCACAGCCTGCCCTCTTTCCTTTGATTCTCAGCTGTTACACAGAGGGGGAGTCCTGTACTCAGACACCTACCTGCAACTCATTTCTTGCAGCCATTACTTTTCCAGTTCAGAGGGAAGAGCACCCCACCCCCACCCTGCCTTACCTTCTGGAGATGGCCAGGACAGGAGTGTTAGTGGCTCTCTAGGTCTCCTGGAACTCCCCTGAGTCCTCCTGTTCCAAACAGGAGCTGGTCTGTGTCTTTGTGCAGGGTGACAGAATGACTTAGAGAGAATGTCACTTCCAAGTTGGGAGGAGACTGATAGAATAGAGCAGATTTGTCCAGCTGTTTCCACCCGCCCCCCAGCATACTTTAAGTTCAAAACAACACTTACATCATCAAAATAGAAGTGTTTATAGTGCTAATCCTCAGGCTTTTCCTAATACAGTCATTAGTCTGGGTGACAAAGGGAGGGCCCTGTGTGGTACCACATCTGGGAAGATACAGATCCAAGTTTAGGCATTTAGAGATCACAGGGTTTGAAGTGGTGAATGCCAAGGCACCAACACCCTCACCCCAGCCACTTCTGGTCCATAATCTCTCAGGACTCCCTCCTTATCCCCAACCGGAATGAATTCGAGTGAACTTATATGAGATTCTTTGACTATTTTTTCATGAAGACACCTAATGGTGGAGCTTTGGTGACAAGATGATCTATCTTTTGGGTTGAATTTTATCTCTTCTACTGTTGGGTAGTCCCTTGAGGGACCCATCTTTTGAGTCAGACCTCACCAGTGAGCAGGTACCCTTTCAAAGAGTCTTTGCTGTTGGTGGCAGTATACGTAGTCTAATGAGTGGGGGCGCTGGAGAGATGCTTCAGTTGGCCAAGTTCTTGCTTTGTGAGTGTAAATCTGATCCTCAGCAGTGATGCAAAGAGCCCAGTGTGGCAGCACAGGCCAGTGATCCCAGCTCTCGGGAGGCAGAGAATTGGTGAGGTCCAGGTTCAGTTAGGTGGAGACAGATTGAAGAAGACATTGGCTACCTACCTGTGGTGTCCACAGACAGACAGACAGACAGACAGACAGACAGACACACACACACACACACACACACACTCATGGAAACAAACATACACTGCACACTAAATAAATAAAATGAGTCAGTATCTTTTTTTTCCTGTTTTTCATTATTGGTCTTCACCCATGATTCATTAGCCTTATTATTCATAGAAACTGGTAGGTATAAAACACTTAACCTGAGTTAACTTATATAATTTATATAGCTATATTTATGTAATTATGATATCCGGCATAAAATTAAATAGATGTTTCCCCGAGGCATTTTAATGATATATATGCACATATTTCAGAAGGAATTATGCATGTATGTGGGTATGTATGTATATTGAATTAGCATCTCACCATATAGCCCAGGTCTCCCTCGAACTCCAGATGCCCCTGTTTCTGCTTTCCAAATGCTGATATTAGGGCATGGCCACCATGCCCAGCTTATTTTATTGTATTTTCTGCTTTAGTGTGTCCATATTTTTATAGTCATCTTTTCTCTTGGCCTTGTATAGAATCTCTGCTACAGAGTGGGAAACTGAGGCCCCAAGAGCCAGATGAGCTGAGCTACTAGAGTGAGGCAATGTGGAAAGTCCCGCTGTCCCACACTGGCTCTCGTACTTTCGGCTGATTTCTTGTACTTTCCTCTTCTGCTTGTTTAGTTCTTTTTATTTATTTGTATGTGCATCATCTGTTCGTGTCTGCGTCTTCGCCCTTTTCTAAGAAGTAGATGCCCCATGTTTTGCATGAAGCCCATGGTAGCTACACTCTGAAGCCTTTGATAAAATGCACCTGCGACAACCCATTTCTCGCCCCACACTTTGACTACACCGACGAATCCCTCCTTCCGCACTGGGTGGTCCCACCTGTAAACCGGTAGTTCCTTCCTCGTGTGCCATGAATGGTGGCATGGATGAGCCTTGTGTAGCACAGGGATTTCCTCCTGTAGCACCAACAGTAAAAAACTCAGAGACAGATATCTTCAGGCTAACTTTATTGTTAGATCACAGATAAAATATCACCATACCTTCTGGAGTTTAATTTCATGTTCTCTCCTTCTTAGCTGGCTGTTAAAACCCCATGCTTACTTTCTGACCCTCTTTGTTTCTTCCCAGAGTGGCACCCTTGACTTCCCAGAATGTGATGATTCATCATGGCCAGACTCAGGAGTATGAGCTCAAGTCCAAGTACCTCCCATCCCCGAAGGTGGTCTCTGGAGAGCAGTCCATGGAAGGGGCTTTCTCTTTAAGATACGGGCAGGATCCAGGCACCGCACCCTTTCAGTGTGAGTATCTGCTCAGACGGCCATTTTCCTGTGTTGCAGATTCAGAGTTTGGAAACGTTTTCTTTGGTTTAGATGGCTGTAATGTGTCACAGTAGATAAAATTCAAGAGTCATTAAAACACCTCCTTTGGTTCCTAAAACAACCAGAAAGCAGATTTTTTAGCGTGGTTTCCTTATTCAGAGGAAAGACATTTTTCCGGGACTTTGGAAATAAATCTGGAGGAACTTGCCTGGGATTCTGTTTCTGCAGGATTTCTTCTTCTGGGAGACGTGTTCCCTCTAATTTTAGGTACAGCTGCATGTCTGACATGTTTGTATTGATAAAATGTTTTCTTTAGCGAAGCTGCCAAGACCCATTCCCTGCGAGCAGCCCATTTGTCCTGCTTGACTCTGTGAGGTTCACCTACGGTAGCTGTTTTTATGCTGAAAGGTTCACTTCGTTTTCAGGCTACCCCGCAGATGGCAGGGAAGACTTGCCGGAATTTGTAAAGGACTATTGTGTCTGGGGCCAGCATGCTTCATATCTCCCTGTGTAAAGCTCAAGGACACAGGCCCTGGCTGGGAGGGAGGGAATGTGATGATTTGTGGTTTAGGTACTACGGAGTGTCTGCTGGCAGCGTCTGCGGAGAATGCTCTGGAGCGAGACACAGACCATTCAGAGGCGAGAGCTAGACTCACCCTCTCATGCCAGCAGCTTCCTGCTTAGTCCATGTTGACTGATTGCCTTCACCATAGCTGAGCAAAGAGCGTGCCAGGTGTGAGGTGAAGGACTCCCTGTTACTACCAGGAATAGTGCAAATAGCCCAGGCAGAGTCATGCTACTGTCTGACACTTTAGAAGCTGGAATCTGCTGTGGATTTGCTACTCTGTGGCTGTCCCAACCTCCCACTTTCTATTTTGACCCTCTGGTGATTGACACTTACTTTTTTACCATACAAGATTCAGTGGTAGATTTATTCGTCTATGTTTCATCTTTCCAGAAAGTTGTCTTCTGGGGCTGGTGGCTGGGCTCCAGAGCAATAGTTTGGTGTGGCTTATTGGGATGGTGACAAAAGTAAATCAGGACCTTAGGGAAAGATGTAGAAACCACTGGAATCATCTCTCTTTCAGGCAAGACAGCTCCTTGACAGTCACAAAAGAACAGCTGTAACCACCGGGTTCCTTAACACTCTTTGAGCTCTGCAGGGGGAGTGTTCCTTCTGTGGAAATGTCCCCCGAGCATGTTTTTCCAATTCTGATTTTAAAAGTGAACAAAAGGAGGTACTTATTATTTCTTGGGATCTCATATAAACACCTTTTGAAAACTCTCTAAAGTTTGGAAGTGATAAGAAGGGAATGTTTGAAACCTCATGATCATATTGCTAGAGGGAGAAAAATCCTAGCTCAATGGAAAAGTCAGGAAAGGATGAAGTGTGGTGCTCTTGGCTGGTTACTATTGACATGTTATTCAAATGTACATCTGTCTACACACCCAAAACCCTATCTGCTTACTACCTCTGTGTCTGTGGGAATTTAAACTCTACAGCCTTGCTGACCTGTCCTCTGGAAAATGAAATGATGTGTGTTTTTACTCCCGCGCCTCTTGTATGCGTTTTCTATGTAGTGAGGAGCTAGTGAAGGCTAGGGAAGTAGACCAACGCATGCCCTCAGTAATGGTGCGCCCTTCTCAGACCCTCTGAAATACGGAACAGGATCAAAAATGGCCTAGGAAGGACTGAAACATTAGTCACATCGGAAAGACAGGAAGGGGAGTGCGGCTATTTTTACTGCTGCTTGAACCATATTGAGAGTTGGAGGTCAAGTTGGAAAGCTATGAAAACAAGGAATTCTGCAGGCCCATGAAGGGTGCTGAAATAGGAAAGCCAAATAAAATGATAGAAGGAAGACCGATGTGGGGAAACGAACAGTAGGAGAAGGAACCTGAAAATATCCGTGAGGTCAGAGAAGTGTGGGAGCCTAGAGCGTGACCGAAAGGAGGGGAAGACAACAGTGGCCATCCAGGAAAAGTGGGATACCTCTGTAACGTCAGCCTCCTCTTCATAGGAGAGTTCAAATCCAAACAGATGAACTCCACAGCGTTCTGAGGGCTGGAAGGTGCAAGAGAAGCAGGTGACTCTGACTTTAGAAGGACAGAAGAGACTAGGTCTCTAGGACATGCAGTGTCTTGGGATGAAATGGCAAGATCGGTGTGTGCCTTCCCTAGAGTACCACCATCGTGCTGGGGGAAGCTACTAGGACCAGTGGAAACATTTGGGTTGGCAAAAGAGTTCGTGTTGCTTTCTCCATTGAAAAGAGAGTTGTGGTAGGTAAGGAAGGTGCTAGAGTATGTGCGACATAAAAGCAGAAGAAGATTGCTGGGGTGGAAGGACACAGGGAGGGAGGGGTGAGGAGATGTATCGCTTGTTCGAAAAATCGATAAGGAAGCCTCGTATGTTGTATGTTGATGAAAATAGATGATATATACTTCTGCACATACACAGACACAGATAGATTAGCAGACTAACAGATACGGATAGGTAGATACACTCACACACACACACACTCACACACACACACACACTCACACACACATACACTCACACACACACACACACACACACACACACCCTGAAAAGTACATAGATATGGCTGGAAAATGGAAGTGAGCTATTGTAATTCATGGGTCAAAATTGGTATCTTGCAAACAGCAATTACGGAGAGTGTAGAGTCCTGTTTTCTGTAGCTTAACAAGCTCATCCGAGGAAGAGACAGCATCCCCAGATGGCAATGGGGAGTGTGGTTGGCTCAGCAGAGCCGATTGTGTGACTGTGTCCAGCATAGCAGTGCTCTTCAGGAGAAACGACCGGATGGGAAGTCACCCGTTGCTGGTGAGGTGATCTCTGGAGAGGAAGCAGGACTTCAGTGACAAAGCTCACCATCTTTGTCCACTGTGTACACATAACTTCTCATACTTTGACTTAGTATGTTTATCAGCCTTCCCTGTCGCTGGGCAACATAACACCCTACAGTGCTTATTCTGTGGTAACTAATAAGAGATGCCTTGCGTGATAAGTTGGATCTCTACCATTTTCATTAATTTGTGTGTCACCTAAAAAAAACTAAAAAAACTAAAAAAAACTTGTGCTTAAGCTCAGTAAATATTTTAGAATTAGTTGCCAAGAAAAAATTGAGGTTGCTATATAAATGTTTTGATGCCTATTTAAAATGAGACCTTTAAAAAATGTCACAGATTGTTGAATATTGGTTAAATTGTTGGAGGCTAATGGACTATTGTTTGCCAAGCCTAGACTCTCTCTCTCTCTCTCTCTCTCTCTCTCTCTCTCTCTCTCTCTCTCTCTCTGTCTTTCTGTCTCTCTGTCTCTCTCTCTCTGTCTCTCTCTCTCTCTCTCGTGTGTGTGTGTGTGTGTGTGTGTGACTTTTTGTATGTTGCACGCATATGTGTATGATGGTTCACTCACACATGTATGTGCATGTACTGATCATAGGTTGCCATTTGTATTCTCCTCTATTTGTTCTCTACCTTACGTTTTGAAATAGGGTCAGTCTCTTGCCGAACCTGGAGCTTCCAGGTTCAGCTAGGCTGGCTGCTCATCATCAAGCCTTTGGGGTGTGCCTCTCTCCGTCTCCCAGTGCTGGGATGACAGTTGCACCCTACTATTCCCAACTTTTATACAGAGATGCTGGCAATCCAAACTTAGGTCCTCACGTGATAAGCACTTACCCCACTGAACATCCCCCCCCCCAGTCTGAAGCTCGGTTTCTTCATCTACCAAACACATCTAGATTTTGGATCTGATAACTGGGAACAGGACGCTTACACCAAAAGCTTCCCAAGAAGCTCGGCTTGGTAACTGCCATTCATTGTCAGCGCTCCCACCAACCCGCCCTCCACACCGTGTCGACTCTCAGGATCATCTCTATCAATGTTGGAGGCAGCAGAAAACCGGGAAGCACCAGGAAAACACTCTGACAGTGCTTCTCAACTGTCCTCATGCTGGGACCCTTTAATTCCTCATGTTTGCTCTCCCCCAACCATAAGGTCATTCTTGCCACTACTTCATAACTATAATTTTGCTACTGTTAGGAATTGTAATTTAAATATCATATATGCAGGATACCTGATATTCGACCCCCTGTGAAAGGGTCATGTGACTTCAAAGGGTTCATGACCCACAGGTTGAGAACAGCTGCATTATAAAATAAATTTCGTTTCTTTCAATGTTAAGAAGGTCGGGATTTGGGACTTGGAAAATAGTGAATGTCAGCCTTGGATCTTTCAGAGAACGTTCAGGTATTGATGAAAGCAATGGATCATGGTCACAGGGCGGGGTGATATATTAAGATACCACCTGGATTCTCAAAAAAGCTACCAAAGAGAGTGAGTATATATATCTAGCAATTTTAACTCCTAATAGAATTTTTAAAAACCCATTCACACAGAGGGTTGTATGTAACTGTTCACCACAGCCCAGTTTCTAATGAGAGACAATGGACTGAATGCTCATCAAATGATGAATGACTAAACAAGGTGGGGTAATTCCACAGAATGGAATTGGAGCCATTAAAAGGGAATGGAGTGCAGACACTTGCTAGAGCCCTAAGCTTACTTTGAGTGAAGGAATCCAGACACAGAAGAATCCAGACTGCATACTATATGAGTCCATGTGTACGAGACACTCACAATAGGCAAACCCATAAAGACAGAAAGCAGGTTAGGGATTCCCAGGGCTGGGGAGAGTACCTGCGGATAGGTCAGGAGTTTCTTTTGGGTGATGGAAAATGATCTGGAGTTATGAGGTTGCCCTCTACCTTCCTTTTGAGACTGGGCCTTGCTGACTGGCTAGGTTGGCTGGCTGTTGGAGCTCAGGGTTCTTCCTGTCTCTGATCACCATCCCTTCACCAGCCCTGTGGTTTCAGACCTGTGCTGCCATTCTTGGCTTTTACACGGGCTCAAAGGACCTGAACTCAGGTCTTTTTGCTTGTGTGGCAAGCACTGTACTG